TGACGAGGATTCGAACCTACGTCTGGGAGCATCCCAGACACTGCCTTAATTGACTGAGCTAGACAAAGACTTTGTTAGACAAAGTTTTGCCATTTTGCTGCAGTTGTCGAGGCATCCACAATGCCGGCCTCTCCATGCCCCACGAAGCCCCGAGTGCGAGATTCCAAGCTGGTAACGATAAGCAGGGTAAACGAGGCTGGTACATCTGCATTTGTGCAGCTGCCCTAGACTATATGAAGGGAAGTACAGTGTGTCAAAAAGCTAGCTACGTGATGCTAAAAAATCACACAGGATGGTTAGTCATACAGAGGCATGTGATAAGTAGTTTGCACTGACAGACTCTGGGTGCATTATGAGGATATCATCAACACAAGAGTGTATAAGGTACAGTAGCAGTGATATTAAAAGTCCCCATCTCGCAGGATGGTTAGTTATACAGGGTCAGTAGCCTGCACTGACAAATTTTGGGTACACTGTGAGGATATTTTCAAGAACACGAGGGTGAATAAAATAATTGCAAAGCTCCAGGTACCTCATGCCAACTGGTCTGAAAGGTCTAATAACTGGGCATTCGGTGATGTAGTGCAGGAGATCATGCCGCAGTTCCTGCTCACAGAGTTTGCACCTGGAGTGCTCAGGATTGGGAGATCGGTCAGCTGTAGCCACCTGCCACAGGTAACGATAACCCAACCTGATCCTGGTAACCTGGTGGACGTTTTGTGCTGCCCATAGATATAGGTTTCAGATCTGAACAAATCATAGGTTTTTATACTAGTGCTTTCAGGTCGTTGGGAGTCAGTAATTTCTTTCTTATCGGACCTGAGTGTTTAGACCAATAAAGTTTTGACATTAGAGATGGGGATACCTAGATCTAATTCAACTTCATCTTTGTTACGCGCTAATCTGGCTGCAATGCTTTTGTTTTGTGTGGCGCCGGACTGTCTATGTGTTGGAGGGGGGGGGGGGTTAGTTTTACTTGTTTCGGCTGTTCTTGTGATATATGTACTTGTTCTATGAACAAATCCACAAGGGCCGTGATGAGGGTTCGAACCTATGTCCGAGAGGATCCCAGACGCGCCTTAATCGACTGAGCTACGACATGGTAAAAAGAATAGTAACCGGAAGCTCAACTTGACCTACCACGGATCCTGTAGGATCCATGGTAGGTCTAATGCTTTGTAACATTAGAACATAAGGATCTTATTATGCTGTCACATACATTATTCATTTCTTCCCATCTTTTGTAGTGAGAAGGTTAACTCATTAGCTCCCTCGCCTCTCATTAGTCTAATCACCGAAGCTTCATTTATCTCTGAAATTCTATCCCCAATAGTTTGTAAGGTCAATCATATCATCATTATCTCAGTAACAGTATTTCTTCTTGGGTCAAGAGAATAATCTTGGGATTATTCTCACGGCTTCATGATGTACCTTCTTCAACTTGTTTAGTGGACCATTTGGTCACCATTTGGTCCGGGAGACATCTCCCGTCACGCAGGGTGCAGTCGCGCCTCCACAGATCTCCAGTATCAGCTCTTGATACTGGTGATGGCTCAAAAGGGCCACCACTTACGGGCTATTCATGCCCGTGCCACCTTTTGGGTGGCTTAATCTTCATCAATCAATCACTTGTTTAGTCTACCTTTACAAGACATGACAGGGGCAGCGTAATCAATAAGAGAGATCTTGATGACCAGACCACACACTAGAAGGTGAAGGGACGACGACGTTTCGGTCCGTCCTGGACCATTCTCAAGACAATCGACTTGAGAATGGTCCAGGACGGACCGAAACATCGTCGTCCCTTCACCTTCTAGTGTGTTGTCTGGTCAACATTCTTCAGCCACGTTATTGTGACTCATCGCCTGCAAGAGAGATCTTACAGTATGCCATGTGATTACCACAAATCAACAACAAGGTTGTTGATTTGTGGAACCAATTACAACGTAACGTGGTGGAGGTGGGGTCCCTCGATTGTTTCAAGCGCGGGTTGGACAAGTATATGAGTGGGACTGGGTGGTTATAGATAGGAGCTGCCTCGTATGGGCCAATAGGCCTTCTGTAGTTACCTTTGTTCTTATGTTCTTGTACCATTGGAATGTAAAGTGTAGAATATAATTAATAATTGTGTACTGTATGGGTTTGTGAGCCCCTTGAGGGACCTTATATAGGACGAGGGTAGAAATAGCCTAAGCTACTCTATCATTTTGAGATGTACTTAATTTTCTCAATAAAGTTACTTGAACTTGAATACTAAAGGAAACAAAGAGTTAGTATAAATGGGGTTAAGTCAGAGTGGGAAAATGTTGTAAGTGGAGTGCCTTAAGGCTGTATTCTGGGACCTCTGTTATTCATAATATATATATAAATGATTTAGATTCAGGTTTGAGCAGCAATATTTGCAAATTTGCCGATGATACAAAAATCGGAAGGGGTACTAAACACAGAAAAAGACTCGCTGTCATTTCAAGATGATCGAAATAAGACTTTGAAATTGTGGAAAGATTTTCAGATGCAGTTTAATGCTGATAAATGTAAGGTTTTGAGGCTAGGTAATGATGATAGAGTTACAAGATACGAGCTGGATGGTGTTGAGATTGCGAAGTCGGATTGCGAAGGAATCTGGGAGTTATGATTAGTAAGAATTTAAAAACCAATTAAGATTTTATTGGTTTTGGTTTAAGAATTTAAACCAATTACCACGTAACGTGGTGGATGTGGGGTCCTTCGATTGTTTCAAGCGTGGGTTGGACATGTATATGAGTGGGATTGGGTGGTTATTGATTGGAGCTGCCTCGTATGGGCCAATAGGCCTTCTGTTGTTCTTATGTTCTTAAAACCAAAAAACATTGCATAAATGTTCGTAATAAGGCAAATAGGACACTAAGATTTATTAATCGAAGCGTTAGTAACAAGACACCTGGTGTGGTTCTTCAGCTATATCTTGCTCTGGTTAGGCCCCATTTAGATTATGCAGTTCAGTTTTGGTCTCCGTACTATAGAATGGATATAAATTCACTAGAACGTGTCCAGCGTAGGATGACAAAGTTAATACCTAAAATTAGATACCTGGCATATGAAGAAAGATTGACCAAGCTTAAATTACATTCTCTAGAAAAGCGAAGAGTTATGAGTGTCATGATAGAGGTGTACAAATGGATGAATGGGCATAACAAAAGGGGATATTACTAGGGTATTAAAAGTATCAACACAAGACAGAACACGAAACAATATGTATAAATTGGATAAGTTTAGATTTAGAAAAGTCCTGGGTAAATACTGGTTCAGTAACAGGGTTGTTGATTTGCGGAACCAATTGCCGCGTAACGTGGTGGAGGTGGGGTCCCTTAACTGTTTCAAACAAGGGTTGGACATGTAAATGAGTGGGATTGGGTGGTTATAAATAGGAGTTGCATCGTATGGGCCAATAGGCCTTCTGCAGTTACCTTTTTTTCTTATGTTCTTATGTGATTATCATCATATTATGTGATTGTTAATTGATCACCAGGTTATCATACTTTCTGATGTACAGACCAGAGTAGAGGATTAGCTTACCTGAGGTTGGTCAATCCCGCTAAAAACAGGGTGATCTCCCTAGATAGTTGGCTTAGCAGTTTCTGCAAAGAGTTCCTTTCCGCTTCTCTCTCTTGGGATGAGGCTACCCGCTGAGCGACAATGTGCGGGGCTGTAACGAGTTAATGGGTCGTACCACTGTGTCTATAGTTCCTTCGCGACCTTCACATTATTTTTTCCATTTTGTCGTAAGCGTAGATAGTATGGCTATCAAGATTTTCAGATAGCGCGTTAAGGCGTATAGCGTTCCACTTTAGCTGAAGTTGGTGGACAGGTAAGTGTATTTAAGTTCATTGTGGATTATATTTCATTTCCGTCCAACTGGTTATGTATACAAATTGGTCATGTATACAAATTGCTCAACTGGTCACGTATACAAATTGGCCAACTGGTCATGTATGCAAATTGTCCAACTGGTCATATATACAAATTGTCCAACTGGTCATGTATACAAATTGTCCAACTGGTCATGTATACAAATTGCTCAACCGGTCATGTATACAAATTGTCCAACTGGTCATGTATACAAATTGTCCAACTGCTCATATATACAAATTGGCCAACTGCTCATGTATACAAATTGTCCAACTGCTCATGTATACAAATTGCTCAACCGGTCATGTATACAAATTGTCCAACAGGTCATGTATACAAATTGTCCAACAGGTCATGTATACAAATTGTCCAACAGGTCATGTATACAAATTGTCCAACAGGTCATGTATACAAATTGTCCAACAGGTCATGTATACAAATTGTCCAACAGGTCATGTATACAAATTGTCCAACAGGTCATGTATACAAATTGTCCGGGACAGTAATGTGTTGCCAACTTCTCTTGTAGGCACCATGGCACATGTGGCACGGAAACATCCCTTCTCGGGTGCCACTTTTGATGACACTTATAACACTGCAGTGCCACTGACTGGTGATGACACATAAGCCAGTGCCACTGGTGCCACTCACTGGTGATGACACATAAGCCAGTGCCACTGGTAGTAAATTGGCACAGATAAAGTATAATGGCACTGTTCGATAAGTATTGGCAGTGTGAGCAGTGTGTATGCAAGGTGAGGGAGGAGGGGGTCAGGAAGATGGTGAGAGGGGGGGTGTGGGAGATGGAGGGAGGTTCTGGGAGATGGTGGGAGGGGGTGTGGGAGATGGGGGTATGTGTTCTGGGAGATGGTGGGGTATGTTCAACAACTAGGACAACAGGACAGCAAGGGGTATACTGCAGTGGGGAGGGGGATGAATCTGGTGGGGTATGTTTAGGTGGGCGGGGGGATAATGAGGTACAGGGAAGGGAGAGAGGGATAGAGGGGAGGGGGGCTGGGTAGGAGAGGGATAGCAGCAGCAGCAGCAGCTGGTGATGGTGAGGTGCGTGACGTCATCAACCACGATACCCACTAGCACCTCCTGCTACCCACAGTCAGTGACTGCTCGGGCACGGAAGGAGAGGGGCGCATCACTCTCTCGCTCCCAACACCACCCCAGAGAGTACACAGGCCCCCTGATCTCCTGTGTATAAGTGTGTGTGCCCAGTCTCCACCGCCCGGTGCCTCGCCAGGAGGACACGCTCTCCTAGATACAGCTCAATAAACGGAAAAGGAAACATAGGAGACACATATTTATATATATCTGTTGCTGTGGTAGTGAAGAAGAGACATCATGGTGTGCTTTAGCCATCCTGACAACGGTACCGACTGCCATCCTGCCTATCCATGTGAGTATTGTTGGTGCCTGTGTGTTGACACCGTTGGTGAAGTGTTTTTCCTGTGTTAATGACGTTGGTGAAGTGTTCTTCCTGTATTGATGATGTTGATTGAGCATTTCTTGAACATCTTGCTCGGGGATACAGAGCACACATCTTCAGACGTCTTCGTTAGTGTTCAGACGACCAGGAGTTAATTGTTTTGACGATGGAGAGTGAATCTGCTGTCATTGGTCAAGCTACTTGCTGGCGCCAGCAGTCTGGAGACCTCCAACTGTTGTGGCTAGCAATGGAATTGAAAAGGACTGTTTTGCTATGAACGTGTACTTGAAAATGTCTTTTTATCAGTGATAGCGCTTTGGGGCACAGGTAGGCCTATTGTATTAGTCAGGTAGGCCTATTGTATTAGTCAGGTAGGCCTATTGTATTAGTCAGGTAGGCCTATTGTATTAGTCATAGGCGGAAGTAGACCACCTGTATGCGTATTGTATCAAGTGATACAACCAGAGACGCAGATAGGCCTGTTGTATTAGTGTTAAACCTAATTGTATTAGTGTTAAACCTAGTGACTTAATTGTCTCTTTTTGGTAATGATAAACTTTTGGAAGCTTTGGTGCCCCAGTTGATCCTAACTTGTGTGAACCGGAATGAAGTGACGTCCACTTACTTGGGACACAAACTGGAGGATGTCCGCTTAGCTCAGGGACATTACTCCTCAGAGCGCCCTTAAGGTAATCTCAAGGTAACCTTAAGGTATGATAGATGGCCACTTTTTCTAATTTTCGCTATTAGTTTTTATATTTTTTGGGTGGGGGGTGGGAAGAAAGAGGAGTGTCCATGTACGGGTGTGAATTGCTTAGTGTTTGGGACCCGACAACGATGGTGGTGGAATGTGTATTGGCTTGTTGGTGGTGGTTAAGGAGGCCATTCGTTTAACGGAGTGTTTATGTCCTTGTTGTTGCCGACTAAAGGTTGTTACCACCACCACGTGGTTGTGGGTGAGGTTTGTGTTGGAGAAGATGCTGTTAGCATCACACGATTGTGGCTGGTAGCAGTGACTGTGTGAGGCTTCTTCTCCTGCTCATCATACTGGGAGTGTGTCGTGACGGGGTCAGCGCCAGGCTCTTGTGAGCGAGTTCCCTCTGGTTAACACGGGTTTGTCTCCTTCGGGTAGGCCGCCCAGGGACAATGGAGTGTTGGGCCACCAGTTGGCTCATAAGGTCCTGGTTTAACTGTCCCAAACTACAAGCCGCTGCCACCAGGGGCGCACCTGGTGTCAAACCACGACGGAATTTACCGGAATTAAGGGAGGAAATATATCCGAATCAAGGGGGAAACTGTATCTCCCACAACACCTCAAAGCAGATTCTCTAACATCATTGAACGCAACATACCACAGCAACATGCAACACAAGTGGCTGGCTTTGTAGATGAACTTCAGCTTTCTGCTCGCCCACTAACTAGTCAAAGCACGCCGCACCTTTCACGTCTAAATCATCGGTGAGGCTGCTTGCTGGCGCCAGCAGTCTGGAGACGTCCAATTGTTATGGCTGGCAATGGAATAAGTTAATAGTGACGGGGGACTGAAACAAATAACTCGATCTATATACATGGCGACGTTTTTACCCCGTCCTGGACCCTCATATGTTGCGACGTTTCAATCCTACCGGGACCCTTATCCCACTGAACACAATACCGAAGATCAACGCTAATACAGCGTTGAATCAACGCTAATACAGCGTTGAATCAACGCTAATACAGCGTTGAATCAACGCTAATACAGCGTTGAATCAACGCTGGTAGCGATGATATTCAACGTTGAACCAACGCCACTCCTGGATATTGTGTCCGTTCGGATTTGATGATGTTTCGGTCCGTCCTGGACCATTATAAAGTCGTGATAGAAGTTCCAAAATGGAGCGAAACGTCGCCACTTTCACCTGTTGTCACGTTTAGGGTTGAGTTATTGCGATCTAGTGATCCACTATCAACCATCCCTTGGTCATGATAATCCCTTGACGAACTGTTGCCAAAAGAGCCATTTAAGCAAAAAGCCTCAACCGAGTACAGTGTGCGTGTGTGGTTTGAAAGAAAAGATGATTGCCACTAAAGTATATAAAAAAAACTTTGACATTTAATGGAACAATTATGTGTGGCAATTGTCATTATTATCAGTCAGTTTTCATTCAGTTGTGCTGTTTGTTGATAATATTTATGTTGGTATGTTAACTGTCATAATAATCTAAATCTATGTATGCAAGACTGCACGATACATGAACAGACTCTGAATGCAAGAATACATACATAAGATACTTGAACAGTGGAGGACTCGTTCCTGTTGATGCGTTAACTGTTTACGACTGTTGAACGCCGTTATTTGTGCCGTTTGTCCTGTTAGTTCACGGTTCTTGTCGGTGGGTGCTGTCAATCCCTTCATCCGCATCAACACAGCTGCCGGAAACCGACCTTATCACACATATAAACACAGTCGAGAATCTAATGATGTTGCCCCAGGACTTCCTTTCCTTCACGTATAATGTAAGCAAAGAGGCTATGTACGCCTGACTAGTTCTTAAGACATTTCCCACGTGTCTTGATGAATCACAGTGTAGTCTGGAATCATCACTTTTCCAGTTGGATCTAACACTTGGTACATTGTGCACACTAGATTTAAAAGCACAATTTTTTCATGTTTGTTAGGCTAGGATAGGTTGGGATGGGTTAGGATAAGTAGGGATGGATTAGTATAGGTTGGAACGGGTTAGCATAGGTTGGGATGGGAGCATGGGTTAGGTTTGTCTATAGAATACCTGTGAAACTGATTTTCACAAGGGCGTGATGTGGAAATATACCATTTGAAAATGCTGTGGAACTCTGATTTGGGTCCATGAACTAGAAGGTGGGAGCAGCCGGAGCCCAAGAGCTGTGTCCTGCAATAGTAGTGTTGAAGTTGCAATAGTCAACGATGTTGTTACTGTCAAGTGACAGTATCGCAATAACAACGATATTGAACTATGCCAACAAGCCTGAATGGTCCCCAGGCATATATGCAACTGAAAAATCTAAAAAAAAAATATTTCAGAATCACTAAAATATTGAAATATATATATATTGTTAGTGTTACTTATTGCGAGTCATCTCTGATAGAAGTTGCATAATAGATTGCTACCTATTTATACAATGCGTTAGAGAGGGGCTAGTAATTGATGAACAATGGTAACCTTTTCACGGGGAGGTGGTGGTAATAGATGGATAGGTAGATGCATAGGTGATGGGCCCAGCGTGGGGTGACAGGCGAGAGAGACCTCGTCGACATGGTCCTAGGTCTTGTCCTCATGATTTATGAGTCCTCAGAATACCTGACTCCTTACCTTTCCCTTCCCTTCCCTCCCCTTCCCTTCCCTTCCTTCCCCCTCCCCATTCCCTTCCACCCCCCCCCCTCCCTTCCTGCGCCTGCACACGCACGCTCGCACATGCTAGAATGCACATGCACACACTCACACGCAGTCTCTCACTCTAGTTTAAAGTTACATAACATAGTATACGATTAAGTAATTAGGTCAGTATTTACATGCAGTCTCCGTGGTGTAGTGGTAAGACACTCGCCTGGCGTTCCGCGAGCGCTGTCATGGGTTCGTATCCTGGCCGGGGAGGATTTACTGGGCGCAATTCCTTAACTGTAGCCTCTGTTTAACGCAACAGTAAAATGTGTACTTGGATGAAAAAACGATTCTTCGCGGCAGGGGATCGTATTCCAGGGACCATAGGATTAAGGACTTGCCCGAAACGCTACGCGTACTAGTGGCTGTACAAGAATGTAACAACTCTTGTATCTCAAAAAAAAAAAAAAAAAAAAAAAAAAAAAAAAAATTTGAGATTACATATTGAAACTTAAAATTGCATAAAATAGTTACAAATTACTTAATATTTTGCAGAGAAAAATTACATAATATATTATAGTTCAATATTACGTAACATATTACAGTATAAAGTTACATAGAGGGGCTAAAATTACATAATATGCTGCACAACAGAGACGAGAGAGAGCGAGAGCTGCCTGGGCAGTAGCCTGGGGACACGTGAGACCTCTTATGTAAACAAACTCCTCTCTCCTGACCGCATAGTGAGTGACTCGCCCTGACTTATCTCCTCATGATCACTAGTGGTTAATGTTTTATGCACCTTCATGGCGTATAAAGTTGTTTGTGCGTCAGTTCCATGATTGAGGGGGTAGGAAGGAAGGAAACTGGGGGGGAAGTGCCAAGCCTTTACGACTATTTAGCACTGGGAAGGGGTCGGGATTGAACTAAGGGTAAGGGGGGTTGATTTTTTTTTTTTTTTAGAGGCTATTGGAGGGGGTGCTTACCTATTATTGGTCGTCACTAGGGTGGAAAGTGAGGTTGAACTTCAAGTACATTTATTATTAACATCTTTATTGACAAAATTAATTACAATTTTGCCTAATTTGAGGATTTAAATTAATTCTTATTAAAGTGAGGATCATGCTGGTATTCTCTGTCTTTATTGAGAGAATAAGATATATCTCAAAAGGGTAGAGTAGCTTAGGCTATTTCTACCCTCTTTGGGAAGTGAGGTCTACAACTTTTTTAGCCCCCGGGTACAGTCCTCTGTAACACATCAAGTAGCTGCCTGGTACAGGAATGTCACCGGGTACAGCCCTCTGTAATGGTGGCATTGGTGTGGAGAATCTGTCGGTCAAGATAATGTTAGTCATTATTGATTATCAGGGGGACAACAATGTAATGTTTAATTAAATGTGATATAACACTCATGGCCTATAGTTGTCACCTCGATATTGCCAGTATGAGGCTGGCACGGTCTGGTTGGCGGGAATGGCCTGTAGGCCTATCCAGCTAACTTCAAGTACCTTACCTTGCGATGATTTCGGGGCTTATCGTCCCCGCGGCCCGGTCCTCGACCAGGCCTCCTAGTAAGTTGATTTAGATAATAAAATACATCACAATAGGATAGAGCAGCTATCTATACTCAGT